ATATAATACTTTATTAGCTTGTAGTTTGCATTTGTGAGAAATTCTTCAACAATTATAATCTATAAAAGTCTCTCTCCTACAAAGTCCATAAAACTACATTATGTTTTGAACATGATAGATCAAGTAATATAAGGAAAACTCAATTTTTTTAAAGTCAAAAATATGAGTGAATTATCAAGCATATAAGCCTACAAAGACATAAGTACACATGAGTCAAAGCGAGTCAATCAATCAACAACCAAGTACGGAGTATGAGTTAATATCAAGTATAAAAGTATTTAGCCATCACAAAATAAAGAAATGTTTAATAGTCAACTAAACTCATTCAATCTATGACATGCTGACTTCATCTACGGAGAGATAGTTTTCACTACAATGCGTTTGATCAATCGTATATCATTCGTATTTACATACCCCTAGCAGACCAATAATGTCATCCTCCACTAGATCTGCGAACAAGCCTAGATGCCAAATAAGTGAACATGGAAAACAAATAATACTTCAGTTGTTGGGAGGTAGAAGTAGGATTCAAGAGTTAATAACTTATATAAATAACTTCCGGATGATATATAATATGAGTGTTGACCAAACCACCGCTATGTATCATGCTGAACAAGAACGGCATAAGGTGATTGATCAAGAGCAGAGAAAGGAAGCCATACTAGTCAACCAATTTGACTTGACTGATGCACTAACAGAAGATAATATTGCTCTCCAATCTTTTGTAACCGAGTACTTTCCACATTAATAACTAATGATGCTTCAAATTCACAAGCGATGATCTACTAGTCAATTGTTAGTAACTAGTAATGAATAAAAGCGAGTAATATATTTACTTTTATAGTTAACCCAAAAAGATCACAATAGCATGGTTGATATTTCTGGAACCACAATATTTTTTCTCTTTCCTTATGATTGCGATTTTTATTGTTGTGTTGAAGGTCGTGTGATATGATGATCATTTAGGAGTTGTCTAGCTCAAACTTTTTTATTGTGAGATCCCTGATGAAGGAATGTGAACCGCTTTTATTTTATTTTTATATTTTGTAGGAATGTGAACCGCTTCATGATATACTTATAGAACAATGAGGCGTCCTTCGACACATGACTTCTTTTGAAAATGCTACGGTAATACCTTTGCTCCACTATTTCATGATTACGGATTACATCTAAGTTTCGTCAAATGATGGAGGGATTTTTGAAACAGTGCCTACCAATTGCCGTGTAGAAAGTTCTATGTACAGTGTATGCTGCTCCATTGAGTATGTAATACTCTTAGAGTCAGCAAAAGCAATAGTGGCACAATCACACATATACCTAGTTAAAAATATCTCTCCAGCTCTGATCAATCGTAATTGCTTACGGAAACACTTATTTATTCAAAGAAACATGAATATATAAACTTCCACATAATTGTTTATAACGTCATTATTTTTTTAACGCAAGAAGAAGAATTAATATATGAGAGTTTTCCTAAAATATTACTAACAAAAGATATATGGACAAAAATGTGACTATAAGTTATTAAGGGTAAATTTATAGACACTATGATTTAATATTTGAATCTTAACCTAACTTATAAAGGACACATATTCTTATTAAATGCTTGGATTTTGCTTTATCATGATGTACATTGTATTGGTATTGATGTACGCTAACTATTATGCACACTTGTAGACGTTTACAGATCGTTACTTCCTTAACGGTGTCTAACTCTAACTGTTTAAACAAAACTAACTCCCGTGTACTTTTTTCGCATCTGTTTGTGAAGCCAAAGCGCCGAAGTCTTTCAACCTGCGTTCCAGTTCGGAAGTTGGAGCATCAATCAAAAACAAATTCTTATTCAATGAAATTTTAGTTTCGAATGATTTCCATCTCTTCTTCAGGTGCTTAAAAAAGTGGGGGTTTCCTTAGGTTTGTCATCTTTTTCACGCGATCTGATCAACACTTTGGTGAGTTTCTATTCTTCCGTCCAATAGTTGACGTTTATTGATCATTACCATAGATCAACACTTTGGTGAGTTTCTATTCTTCCCTCCAATAGTTGACGTTTATTGATCATTACCATCGATTACCATTGCATCTCTTTGCCTATGTTTAATTTGTTGCAATTTATACATTGGTTGGGTTTGTTTTCCACTCTTCTGTTTAATTTTCTATTTCTTTGTGCGCACAACATATAACTTGGGACTTTACATAAAAATCATTTTTAACGCATGCTACGTGTTTGAGAATATGCCACTATTTTTCCTACCAATAAATTAGTTCTATTTTTGCACATTTTCTATTTTCTACTATATCTTCACACAAAATGTGGAAGTGATGCAGGAAAAAGTAGTAGTATAACAATGGAGTTATTAAGTTCACTTCTCCTTTCTTCAAATTATGGGTAGCCAAATCTTAGGGGTATTAGGAATGTCACGCCCCGGACCTAGCCGGACACGTCAACAACCCGCCGTACAGTACGAATAGTCAACCGCAGTCCAACTCATCCATACTATACAAGGCGTCATGAACATCATTCACACATAGTACATCCATAAACAAACATAATGTAAATCATTCATTTAAAACAGCGGAAACAACATTACAAGTGTTCAAGCCACACTTGGCAAACATGGGTATACAAACCCCCGAAATGTATATTCAGAAAATAACATCCATGAGCATTATTCATATTGTTTTCAAAACAAGAACGGAAGAAGCACGAACCAAGTCTTCTTCTCAGGAACTTCCCGAAACAGCGGCTGGTAGTAGCAACCTTCAAGTTCTACCTGAAACTGTGAGGTGGCCTCCCCCGTGAAGGGGAGGTCAGTACTTGGAAGCATTTGACAAGTACAATGACAACTATACTGAGTATAATCGAAGTTTAAATCTCTGAGGCCCTCAATCTAGAGCATTATTACATTATAGTTAATCCGTTCATTTAGTATCAATTCATCATTAGTTACTACGGTCTAGAGCCCAGCTCATAATCACCGTTATCTACTACGGTCTAGAGCCCCGCTCATGATCACCGTCATCTACCACGGTCTAGAGCCCAGCTCATAATCACCGTCATCTACCACGGTCTAGAGCCCAGCTCATAATCACCGTTATCTACATCGGTCCCGAGCCCGGCTCAAATCACCGATTCTTTATAATTCTCATTCTTAGGATCTAATTCATCCATTTCTCAACTAACATTTCCAACTAATATTTCCACGCTAGTTATTTATTTATTTCAATATAATTCTTCCTTCATGCATGATTGGCCTAAATATCAAGTATCACTTTCATACCTTCATGGCTTCTCCTCATGGTATCAAAGTATACTATCTCAAATGAAATTCATGGTTGGTACAACCATCATACACACATATTCATAACATCTAAACATACACAATTTATTCATAAATTTGTGTATCATGCATACTATACTTATAATCAATAGTAGTTTTATTTAGGCATTATTAACCATTAACAACCCATGCACATCACATTTGTATTCACTTAGGAAATCCCATGAGATTAACCCAAAGATTATAAGTAACATAGTCGGTCATCCTCACCTTAATTAAGCTTAAGCGCGTTCTACGCTTCTCGATTGAACTTTGACTAATTTCGGCGAACTTTGACCAACTCCGGCGAACTTTGACCAACTCCGACGAAACTCCGGCAAAGCTCAAAAATACTTTAAATCAAGTTCCTAACAAGGTTTTATCATCACAAAACCCATATCAACACAAATAACCTATAAAAGGTTATTTTCCGGCAAACCGGTCGATTTGGCTTCTATGTCCGTTCTTGGACATAGAACCACTTTCCAACCCATAAATCCATACTTAGAACATGGAGAACCATCCCAAGGGTTCTTCATATAATAAATATGCCTCATGGTAGAAGAGAAATAAAGGGAAAGCTATGGCAAGGTGATTACCTCAATTTCCACACTTTCCTACACCCTTTTTCCTTCTCCAAGCACTCCTCCTTGGATCCTCTATCTTGAGCTCGAATTTGGGTGTGAAAATGGTGAATTTCAGAGCTCCTCCTTGCTATCTTAGGGTGTTGGTACGAGTGGGTGGAGGTGGTGAGGTGAGAGGGGTGGTTTTTGTCTCATTTAGACAAATGAGTGAAGGGAGGGGGTCTACCAAATGTCAAAGGGTGTCTCCCCCATCCTATCAATTGTTATTCAGCCAACTTAGCCCTCATCCAGCCCCCAAAGGTTGACAATTTCGTGGGGTGGCCCCCACCCATGTGGGAGGTCATCCTAATTTGTCCCAAAGTGTACAATTTGCCCCGAAAGTTGTATTTTCTGGACTGTTTTAGATATATTTTATTTTATCGGGTTAAATAAATATATTACGTGTTCTTAATCATTATAACATTTAGAATGAATATGCATTCCCCAACTTTAATTTATAAATCTCCAAAATCCACTTTCGAGCTTTTATCTGATAAGTTTATCGATACCGGTATTTGGGCCTCTATTGGCCGATCGGTCAACTCTGGGCCTTTCCATGGCCCAAATGAAGTATCCACCATCTATAAATATTTTCTAGACCCAGATGAATATAATATGTGGTCCCGATAATATCGGGCGGTCCCCACTCCCGATGTGGGCCCCACGTGCATTTTACTATTCACGCGAAAAAATTAATACAAATTCACAACTTCGTAAATTCACTAAAAATTTCATAGGGTTCAATGAATTATTTGCTTAAAGATAAATACATTTGGGGACGGTGTTACAAGGAAAGTTACAAACTGTCCATATTTAAGAAAAATCAGTCAAGCATAGTCAATTGAGGCATTATGAATGTATTGTTGCTTTAATTCTCTAGAACACAGTAAGCCACCACAAGTATATCTCATCTCAAGTTTCAACCTACAAACCTCATGGGAGTTGAGACAATAGTCTCAACCATGAGTATCCTTGGTAATATGCACAACCCTTCATTATGCACATTTATGTTGAAAAATCAAAAGTTTAAAGGCTCATAAACTCCACCGATCCACCCTATGCCTTGTTAGTCCTTATAGAAGTTCTTTATCCCGCTCTTGTAGCCTGTTTGGGTTTCTTTTATTATATTAGAAACTGGCTGCTGTTACAGCATTACCTCCACCTTTTAAAAAAGGTATTAGTTAAGTATGAAATATTTTTATCTGTATGACAAAAAAATGTTCTCTGCCCTTAAAAACTAACATGGAGTTCCAGGTGTGTGACTTCGATTAAATGTCATTTAAGCTACGTGAGATATACTTATCTATGGTTTATAATTATCTATAGTTTCATTTTATTAGAAACCCATGTGAACTTTTCACTTTTAGAAGTACAACAATAGGATATGTTCATTTGATTAGTTGTTGTTGGGAATATTTTATGGTGTTCAATCTAGTTAGTTATCTTTGTATTTGTGTAGTTATTAATCTTCTTATTCTTCTTGTTATGATTGTTGTTTGTTAAATTCTGGGACTAACAGTTGTACATCTGACTTAGTTTGAACGTCGTGCCCCATATTTAGAAACTGATGGATAGTAGTGCAAAATTAATGTTTTTCTCCTGTTTACTCGAAAACTGCTATATATTCTTCACAAAAAAGTGGAACGAATGAAGCAAAAGTAGTACTATAACATTTACTCTTTTAACTAAATTTCAGCCATGCACTACCCTTGAGTGTCTACATTTGTTGTTGCGTTTTTTTTCTGCATTCTATGTTGCACTATTGAAGGGTTTTCCCTGCATTTTCTCTCTTTTCCCACTGCATATTTATATTGATGAAGGCTTGGAATCTGATTGAATAGTCTCCACGAGTTCATATGATCAGAAACTAAAAGCATCCCATATTAAATCATTGCACATTCCTTCAAGTCTTGCATTATTTGGTGCGTTTTCGCTGCACTTTTGGCTGTGTATTCCATACATATTTTCTATTAAAGAAGCCATGAATTGTGAATAAATTGTCTCCACAAGCTCACGTGAAAAGACTCCAAAAGTGCATTAGGTGTTTCTTAATATGTTCAAGTTATTTCATTTCGCTGACCCTCCCTATCTGCGTTCCCCCCTGCATTTTCCCTGCACTAAAGCTGCATTTTTCCTTGCATTTTTACTGCATTTTCCCCTACAGTATTGCTGCATGTTTCCCTGCATTTCCCCCAGTGTTTTCTCCTCCATATTTTGCATTGAAAAATACTTGGAATCTGATTAAATGGTCTCCACGAGTTCATGTGCAAGGAGAGTAAAAGCACCCTAGGTTATAGCATTGCACATGCCTTCAATCATGCATTATTTAGTATGTTTTACTGCACTTTTTCTGCGTTTTCCCTGCACTTTTGCCACGTTCACGTTCTTCCTTGCGCATTTCGTATTAATCAAGACTTCAATTTGAGTGTTTTTTTTTTGTCGTTCGCTGCATTTTTCCCTGCAGTTTTTTACCATTCCCCTGCATATTTTGTATTGATCGAGAGTTGGATTAAAATTAAATAGCCCGCACAAGTTCATATGAAAAGAAAATTATAACCACCCTATGTTATATCATAGTAGTTGCCTTCAAGTTTTGCGTTTTTGCTTCATTTTTACTGCTCTCTTTGCTGCGTTTTTACTGTAATTTTGCTCCATTTTCTCCTGCATATTGCATATTAATCTAGACTTAAACCGTCATATCACATAGCTTAACAAGTAATTCAATAAATCGGTAACTATTTGACTCAACACATTAGAGTTAGAGACAAATTAAGATGCTATTTTCTCTTGTTGAATCCCCTTGTATCCATTTCCATCAATTGAACATGTACTCACCGAATATTTTCATTTGGGTTTGTAGAGTTATTTGCATTCCTAGGAGATAGCAAAAGACTTCATTACTTTCCACATCTCAGGTTACGAAAGATCCAGGTGTGTGATTTCTATTAAATGTTATTTAAGCTCCTTGAGATATACTTATCTATAGTTTATAATTATGTATAGTTTCATTTCATTAAAAACCCATGTGAACTTGCACTTTTAGAAGTACAACAATAGGATATGTTCATTTGATTAGCTGTATGTCTGACTTAGTTTGAACATCGTGCCCCATATTTAGAAATTAAAGGATAGTAGTGCTCCATCGGAATTTTGGACAAGGCCCCAAACAAACAAGCCGCAGCGTTGTATCTCCACAAACGCATTGAAACCAACATAATATAGCCAACATAGTACAATTAATGAAGGTTGGTCTTGTTTGCTTTCATTCTCACAATTAATAACTTTCGATAATGGACATATACCTATTAAAATGTCCATCTTACTAATTCCTTTACACTATTATACTTAATCATCATAGGTTTTGAAAACTGCCTTCATCTTTTACCTTTTCTTTTCAAGTTTGCCTTGATATTTTCCCAGAAATATTGTCGCTCCTAAACTCCCGTTATATTTATTTGTCACATATATACTATCACACTAATAATATTGATGTTGCCTTAGTTACTTTGTAATTGTTTATGGTATTTTATAGTAACACCATTCAACCGAACTACATTCCATTATTTGTGAACTTAATAATACACGTATGTTAAACATATTTTACAAAATTCATTAAAATTAGGAGTTGGGCATATTACATTCACCCAAAGCGTGAACAATTTACTAGTAGAATTATATGCACTAAAGTTACTAGGGTAACAATTTTGTCCACTACTTCTATTTTGGTTATATACTTGGAAATTTTCTCTTAATATATTTGTAGAAGGTAATAAAAAAGTTAATGAATGAAGCAGTACTTTCATTTATACTTGGTAAGAAGTACTCCCTCCGTCCCAAATTGATTTGCAAAGTCAACATTTTTTATCAATCAATGTTAAACTCAAATCCTCCATATTGATAAATTATTCAATTTTTAATAATTAAAATTTACATATTCATAAACTACATTAAAATCTCTATAAAGTTGCAAAATTCATATTAAAATATAATTAACAATTGATATCCTAATTAAGTGAACAAAATGAAACCGTTTGACCATGTCTCCACTCCTCGACCCTTCCATCTCCATGCACGTCGATCTAAGTGTACATGCGGTTGTTATCAGTGATGAGATTGCCCTGAATTGGCATGGGCCTTCGTTGAAAACAAAAGAAAAGATTTGGAAATATGGATCAAGACTATACGGACTACTTCACTCCTTGAATTGGCTGCATTTATATACATGCATACTCTCAAACCGACTCATAATTAGTTTAGATATATTCTACGAACTTTTTAAATTAGGGGTTCCCATTTTCTTAACTAATCGAATTATTAGATTATTATTGTTTGTATCGTTAATAGAAACATTTCTCTCTTAATTATAGTGTGATAGTGTCTCGCACTCTAATGTAACACAAAATACTCTATTACTATAATAATATTACATATGCATCCATATATAGTAAAGTCCTATATGATTCCGTCATCATCATCATTAATTATTTATCATGACAATGTATGAATTAAAGTATCATTTTTTTTATCAACCCTTACCCCACATTATGTGGATTAACACCGGGAATTGAAAAAAAAAATTATCATCATTATAAAATATACTCTGTTGTATCCCACATATTTTTGAAATATGACGGTTAGGAAGTAAAAGAAAATTAAATAAACAAAATATTTGGTTGGATTTTGATTATAAGATAGGAACAATATTAATAAAGGTGTATTCTTTCTCAAAATATTGTTGGTGTAAAGTGTAGAGTGAATTACCTAAATAAGACAAAAATGTGGCCTGAGAGTACAAATATGACTACATCTTTTAAATTCCCCCCAGGTAGGATTATTTATGTGTGTTAAAGCATTTGTCCCACACCGGAAAGCTATAAAACAATTAAACACTATATAAGGCTTTGAGTTACTCCTCCTATCATGTTGACCTTTTAGGATGGAACTTCAGGCCTTAACATGGTATCAGAGCCAATCTCGGTTGTGGCTTGACGGCTTGTTTAGCACCCATGCCATGATTAAGGGTAGTTTAGTAAGGGTTTGTTTGGTCCGTTTATACACCTTGATATTGTTCAGCCCGGTTGAGGCTGAGGGGGCGTGTTAAAGCATTTGTCCCACGCTGGAAAGCTATAAAACAATTACATAGTACACACTATATAAGGCTTTGTCCCAGGTTGACCTTTTAGGATGGAACTCCGGGCCTTAACAATGTGTATTGGACAAATATACCCTTGTAACTTTTGAAATGTCGTAACTAATAATAAAATCATAAAAAATAATAAAAATCGTTAAAAATAATAAAAAATGTAACAAAATATTAAAAAATTTATAAATATTTATAAAACAGAAAATTATTTAAAAAATTAAAACGTAAAAAAACTGCGGCCTCTGCCACCCCCAGCACCACCACCTCCCATCATCGGTTGGAAATCTTCCAACATTTTTATTAATGCCATAATAATGGCAGATTCAATGAATCATTTAGCATTGTGAAAAGTAATAATGCCATTTTCTTGGCATTATCAGGAAAAAAAGACAGAATTTTCATTGATCGGAGGTGGTGGTGCTGGGAGGCGGTGGGAAAGATCCATATTTTTTTGTATTTTTTATGCGTTTTTACTATTTTTCATTTAAAAAAAAATCAAAAAACTTATTTTTTTTGAATTTTTATTTTATAAATATTTTATTAATTTTATATTTTTACGATTTTCTATTATTTTTTTACGATTTTTAATTATTTTTTATGATTTTATTATGAATTTAGACATTCATTATGAATTAATACCCTTAGAGATATTTAGGGTAGAAACCAATGTTTAGTCCTACATGGAGGGAATAAAAAAGTAGTAGTCCTATTTGTGCATTTTAGATAAACTTTAGTCCTATTGAAAGCAATTTCTATAAAACTTATTGACATAAATGTAACTACATTATATTATTGTGAATATTTATTCATTGTCGTTTAATTTGAAAATTGAACAAAATCAATATCACTACTACATATTAAAATATCTATTATCTCTTATTTAATAATACACGGAGTATTAGTCATTATTTCATGATAAAAGAATATTTAAAAATGAGAAGTTTATGTTTAAAAGACGTGAAAAGAAACAAGTCTTTTTTAACAATAGAGCAAGCACACACATATTTATGTCTTTCTCGTCTCTAAGGCTCATCAATTCCCTTCATGGTATACAATTTTCACCGTTTGTGTCTAATAATTAATCATTTCAAAGACCTAACCAAGAAAAATTACATATTAAAACCCAAAAACCGAAAATTTTGTTATAACTATCAATACTCGATCATTATTAGGGATGGACTGGGACGGGTCGACCCGGCCCGGTAATGTGCAGGCCCCACCCGGCCCGACAGGGTGGTATCGGGACTGGGGGGCCGAACCGTCTGTTTATGGGGCGGGCTATGGGCCCTGATGTTAGTGGACCGACCCGACCGGTCCAGGCCCGGTCCGGGTCAATTTTTCTTTTTGGCATTGGGCTGCTGATAGATGGGTTGGGCTGGGTGTTTTGGCAGGGTTTGGGGTGGAGGGTGGGGTTGGGGTAGAATAAATTCGAAGTGACTAATTTTAAAAAAAATGACCCGAACCGGTCCCGGTTCAAAGTTCAAACCCGGGCTGGTACCGAGCCGGCGGGCCTTCATCCCAAAACCTCAATCCCGTCCAATCCAGCCCAATCCCGGCCCGACACGGGCCCAATCCATGCCTAATCATTATAGCAGTATTACGACAAACTTCAAGTCATTAAAGTTATGGGGGGGATTGGGTTGAGTGTACAATATTCATCTACTATTGTCTAAGAGTGAGTCTCATATTATCCAATTAACTATTCATCATTTCATTAGTTAAATCAGTTGGTTTGTGATTGCACAAAAGATATTTCTATTATTAATCATTATTACATTTTGGTTACATGATACTCCCTCCGTCCCGGAAAATTAGTCCCACTTTAACTTGGATCGGAGTTTAAGAAAGTGGGAATAAAGTGGAAATGTATGGTTGTGGTTGAGTAAGAAAAAGATAAATGAATGTTAGCCACACAAAACTTTCCAAAAAGGGAAATGGGAACAATTTTTTGGGACGACCCAAAAAGGAAAATGAGACTTATTTTATGGGACGGAATGAGTAATTATTTTAAATGAGAAACAAGTCACCAAACGGGCTTTAAAACATAATGAAGTATGCAACATAGTTTTTTTTAATCCTTTGAACTCTACTAGAATCTTACTATATACAAAACGGAGTGGGGAAAAGCCAAAAATGAACTGTGTTCCCGCCTAAATGAACAGTACTCGGATTCATGTACTCGGATGTGTTGTCCGCTTTTGCCTTTCAAACAAAAATGAGCAGTTCAAAAGATACTCGATCCGTCCCATTGGACTTTGTTACCTTTCTTTTTTTTGTTGTCTCAAAAAACTTTGCCACTTTCTCATTAAAGTAACTATTTTGTGGTTCTACTCATTTCTCTCTCCTCTGCACAAACTTCAAACATACAATTTTTACTATTTTTATTTCTCACCTAACGTAAGGAGTGCAAAGTCCATTGGGACGGAGGTAATACATACGAATATATGATGGTATGTACGGAGTATTAACATGTTGAGCGGAGGAGTAAAGAAGGTATGCGGGGGCCAGCCAAAATGAAATTCTCAATTTTTTAAAAAATGTTACAAATATTTATTTGTTCTACAATTTTTACAAAAAATATATCAAATTTCATAATTTTTTATGAACTTTCATATGACACCAATGAAGCTTATATAAAGTTAAAAAAATAGATTTCAACTGCTAAAGATTTCTAGGTTCAATTTTTTAAAAATAAATTCAAGTGCTAAAATGAAATATCACGATTAAAATATTTTGAGCTCATTTATTAGCATTGATATTGGCTTAATCAAGTAAGGTAACTGAGTGAATATGTGTAAATTGGTGGAGAATTTGATTTATTGTAGTAGAAGATTACGATTAGGTTAATAGACAAAAAAAGTATACAAAAATAAAGTTTGTGTGACGGATATAACTCACACGAGTTATTTGTACAATCAATAAAGTAAGTTACTACTTTCGCTCCAATTGATATGTCTTCTTCTGGTTTGACGCAAATTAAAAAATGGTTGAAAAAATAAAAGTTGTGATTGATATTTATGTACTTTGTATAATAAAGTGAAGTATTGTGGATCACATATTTCTTTACAAAAAATGAAATATGGCACATATGTTGTGAGTGTGACAACCCTAAAGGAAAAGTAAGATTGATAAAATGAAACAAAGGGAGTAATGTAATATGTAATATATACGTAATATATGTGTGAGTCTAGATGCATGCACGCACACATATATGTGTATGTATGTACATAAGTGTCACATTTTTTTATATACAATATAACTATAAGATTTGGAAATAAAGTTAAAGAATCACTTTTAGTTTATATTTTATTTTTAATTTGAATTTACATCATAATATAAATATTTAATATTTATATTGTATATTTTCAACTTTTATTTTATTTTGTAATTATATTTTTTTATTTTCTATTTTTTCGTACTTTTGATACTTTTAACGATTGAGAGAATTAATTGAACGATTCAGTCGGGTTCATGACCCCTTAAATTGTCACGTCATATGCGCACTTGGCACCTTGCTGGGGTGACGCGGCAGTGATCGACAAGATTGTTACCTGTAAAAAGTGATCTTTTTATCGAGGTTAAGGCGCTGATTAAAGCCTTTTTAAATTTAAATGGCAAGCTGGGCATTTTGGACCGGCTGAGAGACCTATTTGACCATTTAGCCATAAAATTGTAGGCACACTCCAATATAAAAATACTACTTTGTTTATATGAGTGTAACTTGGAGGCTTAATTATAAACGTAACTGCTTTTATAATGTGTGTTGACGTTATATGTGGTTCTATATAAAATATATTTTGTATGAAAATAGAACATGTCAAAGATAAAATGCACACCTTAGGTAAAAAATTATATATTAACATGCATCAGTTGTGAGATTTCAAAAACTATCATTCGCGAGATAGATGTACATGTCTTATATAGCGTGAGATTTCTTTCACCTATCTATACTATCTTAGCTTATCTTACTCAAATAACGGATAAAAAACTCATAATAAAATTTTGATTTTCAAATTTCTATAAAAGGTAAAGAGTTGTCTTTTGAGATTTCCTGCGATCTCTTTAATTACAATTTGAAACATATTCCCTCCGTTCTTAAATATGAGTCCTTTTAGGCTTTGGCACAGGTTTTAAGAGGAAAATAATAGGGGTAGTGTAAAAGGTGTAGTGGGTAAATGAAATGGTAGAAAAGAGAAAGGGGTAATGGTAATAAAAGTGGGGGTATAAAAGTATTTTGATTGAAAAAACTTACCAAAAATGGAAAGAGGAACAAATAATTAAAAATGTCCCAAAAAGGAATGCGAAACAGTTAATGAAGAACAGAGGGAGTATCTTTGTTCGTATATAAACTTTTTCTTTCTTTTTTGACAAAGAAAAATCTATGGTCCATATATTTTTATTTTCTCTACACAAATTTAGACCACAAAGTACACAACTCCACTTTTTAATCAATGTTTCAAGTCAAAATAAGAATTAATTATGTGAGAAAGGGAGTATTATTTTCACTTTTTCAATTTATAAAAACTCTCACACCGTGCATCGCACGGGTGAGAAACTAGTTCTTCCATACTCTTCGTTGCACCAACGATAAGAATCTAATTCATTTCTAGAAAACAAGCTTAGATTGGGATCTTAAACATGAACACCAAATTCATCTGTACATTTACAGGTCAGTTAAAATGATAGCGTATACATATATGATCCATTCTGATCCAAGCGTAAATGACAGGCAAGCTCTCATCTGCTTGCTTCTTACTCATCGTTAAAAAAAAGGCCACCCTACCGACTAATCAATGCATCGTTTTTATTCAGGACTTTTTGAATCAATGCATCGTTTTTATTCAGGACTTTATGCCTTCAAAACTCTCCTCTCTAATAACCATCACAGCAGCTGGCACTTGCTATTGTTTCCCTTTCCTTATAATTGGTTCAACCACACAGCTTGCACTATGAATCAACTACCTTATTTTTCAGAACGAGGAGATATATGTGCATCAGCATCGACCATCGAGGCGCTAGAAACCTGTGATGCTTCTATGTTCTCAATGACTCCCTCTCTCTTTTTTGGCATCAACAAGAGGCAAGCTACACAACAAATAAATAAAAACTCCATTAAGTTCATAACCACCAGCAATGGGGCTTGAAAGGGTCACACATCTAAAAAGGTTTACTGTCCATGTTAATTATACTCCCTTCGTCCCTTAAAACTTTATCAAGTTTGACCAGCACGGAAAATAATAAAGTAAAAACTGTCTAGTTCAAGTTTATGTAGAGAACAAAAAAATAATAAGAACCACAAATTTATTGATTAAAAACTCAAAAGTTGCACAAGGGTGGAGGGGGTATTATACTGACTTAAAAACTCAAAAGTTGCATTACAATGTGATATCTTGATTTGATAAGCTAAGCATGCGTTACAGGCGTTGAGTGACTCGAGAAGTTGAATTGCTCTAGCCTATGGTGATATTCCAGAGATATTCATGAAGGGAAGAGGTACACAGGGAAGAGAAATTGGATGGAAGAAAACTCCAAAGAATGATATTTATTCAATTCCAACTTTGTCCTTCGAATTACATTATTGTTTCCTATAAAGGAATAACAATTGTAATTAATTAATAAGAAAAACACAAACATTTTCATAACTAGGAATGCTAAATAAAACAAAACAAGAAAGCGAAGCAAACAAAATCATTAAAATCTTAGACTAGTGATTCAATTGCGTAAATTACTCTTCAAATTTCAACATGCTCATATCACAATTAAATTTAACAAAGCTTGCGAATGTAATCAGAATATAAAACATATTAAGTTATGAGACTCGACAGTAGAGAATTATATGGTGATGCCCTTCTAAACAATAATAGTTCTATCTGGAATACAAGTATACATATAAACATGTCTGCATGTGGGGAGGATACAGGGTGGGATAGTGCATGAGTGTGTGGGCATGGGTGGGCGCGTGTCAATACACACATATGAGCCAAAAGTTTTTTTGTTGAAAACAGCAAACACCCATAAGCCATTGCTCCTGTTTTGTTTACGAAAATAATTGTTTAGTTGAAGATGTCTGATACAGGGGAGATTAATAAGCATCTCATTTCCCATTTCACAATATGGCCAATTTGGTAACATTTCTTCTTATTGTTTCATCAACATTGCATCACTATTTTAGTTTTCTTAAGTTGATTTACCTAATATTTTGGTTACACAAATATTCAAGGTTAGAAGTCTGCATTATTTTACAAATATAAACCAGAAAGAGCACCGATTTATTTTTGAAGTAAAAAGTTTGTAATGTGAGCACATCACCAAGACATACATAGAGTGGGGTCACACCAAGCTCCTAATAGACATAGGAAACAAGCCCAAAGTTAAGTAGAAAGAGCATTTAGGTCAGTAGTCATATTGAGGGGCATCTAAGTGGCACGGAAACACGAAACGAGAAATGTGAAACGGGAAACGAGAAACGCAAGAAATGCGGTTTCTAAAAATATAGGATATGAAACATACGGGAAACGCGTAAATTTTAAAAGTATAAGGATATATTTGTAAATGTTTTTTCATATGTCTACACGGGTATTTTCATTTGTATATATGCACATAATTTTTTTCATCTGACTTGTTTAATAACTCAATAATAAATACATTCAATATGTTCAAATTTAGATATCATTACATATTAGTACATAGTTGAACTTATAATGCAATACATTTCTAGTAAAGTATTGTGTTATCAAATGTCACTATGTTGGTATTTGGTAAGATGAAATACCACAAAAATTCACTAAATTTTTCAAAAAGACACTATTTTCCGTCACAAAAACTCATAAAAGATAAAAAAAATGAAAACCCAAGGTTTCCAAAGTACTACTCCCTCCGTTCCGAAAAGGTTGTCAAAGTTGACTTTCACGTGGATTAATAAAGTAAAAACTGTGTGATTGAAATTTGTGGAAAGGAGAGAGAATTAATTTTAGCCACATATTTCTTACTTTAAATGGAAATGGCAAATCTTTTTGGGACATCCAAAAAAGGAAATTTGGTCAACCTTTTCGGGACGGAGGGAGTAATATTTTAGGAAATAGGTTACCCAGTTCTTCTTGATTATGGAAATGACTGCAGAACGGGAATTTGAAATTTTCGAGTTTCCCACATGCTTAAGAGTTTCCGAAAATGGGAAATGTGAGCTGCAGCCCGCAGGGAGTTTCTGAAAAGTGCTATTTTAATCTTTAGCAAACAATCCATAATCCACTTTTATACTACTTCCATTCTTTAAGAAGTGAGAGCAAAACTTTTTCACAAAGATTAAGACATGTAATAGAGGGTGATGAGTAGAGTAGAAAAAGTATGATAGAGAACAAGAAAAAGTCAAATTAAAACATGTAAGAAAGAAAAGGAGAAGAGGTAAGCTAAAAGTTTCTAAAAATAGAAATGAGTCAAATAATAAAAAACCTCAAAAAAAAGAATACGAGTCATTATTGAAGAATGATTGAAGTGATATACAGTCTCATTTCTTTATTTTCCAAAGGGGTGGCAAAAATTTGTGCAGCGAGAGAGAGAAACAATATGCTCCACTATTCATTACTTTAAAAGGGAAGCGAAGTTTATATTGGGATAGTCGGAAAAAAGAATGAAGTTTAATTTGTGATGGAGGGAATATAACACTTTTACTCCCTCCATCCAATTAGAGTTCATCATGTATGAAAAACACACGTGAAATAAGAGACTGGTTGATGTTTGTGTACCATCACAAGTTGATTACTTTAGCGGGAAGATCACTAAGTTTTTGAAACTACAAAAAAGAAAAGTTGGCACAGTCCAGTCGCGGAAGTAATACGTTTTATGTTCATCAACATAATCAATATAACTGTCCAACCAACAATACTACTTTTACATGTTATCCTAGAATTATGTTTAAGTGTAAATTCGAACCTATGCTAATCACAATTGCGACCCCAGCCACAGAATTTGCAATTGTCTCCGCCCAGTGCCCTTCCACCAAATTTCTGATCACCTAGACGGAGATTCGAAAAAGGAATCAGCCATCATCATCACCATCACTCCTCTTCTTTGATGATACATGCATCAGCTTTTTTACTTTCTTGGGTAGCAATCTATATCCCATTGTCATCAATTGGTGTCCCAAGTGTCTCAACCCTAGATCTATAGGTCTTCGGGTAATGATCTATCTATGGATTGAATTCAAATAACGACAAATATGGTATGCTCAACAAGGAAAGATCCCTCTTCTTCAACTTCCTCTCTCTTCCACATATATCACATAATACCTAGTATATGAGCTTAGTGTAGAATACAAACTTCAAATATTGGACATTATCCAATCCCAATAACATTTTGTTTGTACTGTCAAGATTGAAATCTACCTTTTTTTGACTATTTTTTCTAGAGGCAACTAACTCCATGTGCCATATAGATGTGCTTCGGTGTGATTCACATTCACAGAGGTAATCAATCCACTTTCAACATAACATCCCTTGGGGAGCTACATTTTGAGTGGAATGATATAAATAGTATATTTATTAATATGCCTTTTCTTATCCTAAAGTTATTTTTAAGTTTCTAACTCTTAATCATATTCTTATTCACTTTCCTACTGGACTCATGTGTTTTGTATAAACTCTGGTATACTTTGTTCATTATCAACACAATCAATATAGTTGTTTATTCCATTATACAACTCCTACGTGAAAAGCGGGATATTGGGCAATAGGCACAATACTTATAGGAACTCAGCCGTGAACAATGCCTTTCTATTTCCAATTTCCTTAATTATGGATAATTTGTTATGAATGAATGGTTGAACCACATATTACATAAACCTTAGATTTCTTTACAGCTACAAATGCCATGCTCTAGATCCTTTAATTTCAAACTGCAAAATCCAAAAAGGGGTGCAAAGTGAATTATTTAAACATGGGCACGTCAAGATTGACTTTGTATCTGATAATATCATCAACACACATTCATATATCAAACCAGATTATCTTGTAAAAGGAAATGAGAGAAAAATCAGGTACAGCAGGAAGAACCTCCAATGGAGAAATTGACGGCCAAGAGCATAGGCCAGAGGAACTTATACCGACGAGCGAATGATTCCTTGAGTGGCCGGTAGGTCGATGGAGGAGGCCTACTCACCGTCGACATTGACGGCGCCATTGAAAGCGGTGCTTTACGTTTCTGCTGCGCTGCAATATACAGAGCAGTAATGCGTTTAACAGTTAACAAATCAACCATCGTTGCGCTAATAATTAATTTATAGAGAAAAAGGAAAACAAGGGATCGTCGAAAAGAAACTATCTCGGTAGAGAATTAGGGATAGTACCTTTATTAGGCTTGTCCATGTAAAGCTTTGGAGTATCTTCTTCCGTCATTCTTACTCAGACTTGGTTGACTAGTAGCCGCCGGTCACTCCTCCATTCCACAGCTTGTTCTAAGCATCTCCTTTACATTTTCTAAGCCATTTTCTACACTAAAATGTATGTTTGCGAGACATAAATCCTCTCCCTTCTGGATAAAAATAACTTTAGGATAAGAAAAGGTATATTGTTGTAAAATCCTGGAAATCACAAGTGTGAATTGTTCATCCTTGTCATCAATCCAGAAATTATGTTTAATCCTTGTAACCTAGTTAGAACAGATGGCTCAACTTGTTATTGCCACCAAATCTGTAGATTCATCCCTTAAATGACTAATCATCAAGTTCAAACAGTATAAATAGGAGCTTGATGAGGCATTGTAAATTCATTCAGAAATTCAGAAATTCTCAGATATTAAGAAGAAGATATTTAGAGCTTTTATTAATATATCTATTTCTTAAGTTTAGTCTTCATCTTCTTCATTTCACAACACGTTATCAGCACGAATCTGCTCAAAATCTTCAATAAATCATCATCTCCTGCAGGTATTAACATCAATATTCTGTTATCTTCTTTTAGTACTTAAACCAGAAAATTATTCTAAGTTTTAAATAAAAACTTCTGTCATATACGTATGAAAAGAAAATATAGATATCATACATACCTTTGTGAATAAGTAGCTTCTTTAATTGAGCTTCATATACGGTACCGCTCTTAATTTGATAGAAGAAGAAAAGTTCATGACTAGATATACTCACATACTAAAGAAGAGGAGAAGAATAAACTACAGAGTAACTTTATAATAAATACCCTCACTTTCCAAACTGGATATTAAACTGATGTTCATTTACTTTCTAGCTAAATATGGGGATATTGATGTTCATTTACTTTCTAGCTAAATATGGGGATATATAAGGTGTATACATAGTCACGGGTATACAAATGTACAAACAATAAATAATTAAAATAAGCAGACTTCCTGCAAGAGCCAGTAGGCTCTACTCAGTCTGCAAGAGCCAGTAGTCATACTCACGGGTAGTATAAAAACAAAATCAATTGATAGGTTGAATTCTAAAAGTAAAACAGTCCTGCGCAAAAATCATCCGTTATGTTTAATAAAATTTACTGGCATGGTTACTAGTTAGGCAAAGACCATTTTTATTTTACCAGCCACAGAATTTATATGTACTCCACCTAAGTAAAGATAGTGATATTAACCAATAATTTACCACTATATACTTACGTAAATGAAAAGGTGGTATTAAGAGTCAAAAAACAAATAGTAAAAGTTATTGCTCCAATTTTTTTTTTTTCAGTTTAGTTCTTATCCGTTAATGCAATTAGTAACTTTTACGGAACACATAATGTTCTTATATACATTTTTACTAATTAATTTTACACCAATAATTTTTGTAGTACAATGGCAAATATAAGCAAAAGAGAATTCGATGTTCTCTATCTGTCCGGTCAAAAATACTTGGAATGGAAAGTGGATGCCTTGGCACATTTAAAGGCAAATGGATTGGAAGACACCATTGAAACTAATAATCAATCATCTTCCCAAGACAAAGCGAAAGCTATTATTTTTCTCCGTCACCATCTCCATGAAAGTCTCAAATCTGAATATCTTTTGGTTGATGACCCAAAAGAATTATGGGACAATTTACAGGAGAGATATGGTCACCAACAAAAGGTACTTTTACCAAAAGCTCAGTATGACTGGATCAATCTAAGATTCCAGGACTTTAAATCTATCAGTGACTATAATTCTGCTATGTTCCAAATAACATCTAAATTGAAGTTATGCGGACAAAAAGTCACTGATGCTGATATGTTGGAGAAAACCTTTTCTACAATGCATATTTCTAATATGCTGCTACAACAGCAATATAGAGAAAAAGGTTTTAAAAAATACTCCGACTTAATATCAGTATTATTGGTAGCTGAGCAAAATAATGACCTTTTGATGAAAAATCATAATCTGAGACCCGTTGGTTCTAGTCCTTCGGTTTATGGTCCATCTGGCCATAATTTAGCCACTGAATCAAATGCAACATACAGTGGCAGTAGAAGACATTTTAAACGTGGACATTTTAATGGTCATAATAACAAGCCACACCGAGGATATAAACGGGTCGACAGACCAAATTACAAGGGCAAGGGCAAACAAAAAGCCCATCAAATAAATCGCCCTACAAAACCCTTGGTGAAGACAGCTTGTTACAAGTGTGGCATGACGGGGCATTGGGCTAACAAATGTCGTACTGCGAAACATCTGGTGGAGTTATTTCAATCTTCCATGAATTTGAACAAAGGCAATAATATGGAAGCTAATTATGTCAATGACACAACTCCATCTCTGCCAAAATTTGACGTGTCTGATTTTTTCGCGGATGATGCCATTATGGATGATGCTTTTGCCTTAAACCAAAATGTTACTAAATAAAATAGTAGACTCCTCATGTTGTACAATACTACAATACTAGTTTTATGTACTTTTTCTTTCTTCCCCTTTTTATTTGGTTTTTAATTAAATATGTATAATGTATGTACTGTTATGTTAAATAAAATGCATAATTTGTGATCAAGCTAATGTTTATTTATATATATTGAAGATATGGATCATTCAAATGATAAAGAGCTATGTCTGATAGACAGCGCCACAACGCACACCATTTTGAGAAATAAAATATATTTTTCTCAAATGACTTTAGTTGAAGCTAAAGTCAATACAATATCAGGTGTTGCGAAGCTCATTGAAGGCTCTGGGAAAGCATATGTGATGCTCCCTAACGGGACAAAAATTATTATAAATGACGCTCTATACTCCAGCAAATCGCGGAGAAATTTATTAAGTTTTAAAGATATGCGACAAAATGGTTATCACATAGAAACCATGAATGAAAATCAAAAGGAATATCTTTGTCTTACAACAACTAAATCTGGCACTAAATATATTTGTGAAAAAATGCCAGCATATTCCTCAGGACTATATTTCACATATATTAGTCCATTCGAAATAAATTTGGTTTCTAACACAAAGTTAGATGATCGGAAAACATTCATGTTGTGGCATGACCGTTTAGGTCACCCAGGCCAAGTAATGATGCATAAAATCATTAAGACTTCACTTGGACATCCATTAAAGAATATCAGGGTTCCATTATCAAGTGATTTTCCTTGTAAGGCCTGTTCTCTTGGCAAAATGATCATCAGGCCTTCTATGAATAAAATTGCAACTGAATCACCTGCATTTTTAGAAAGGATTCAAGGTGATATTTGTGGGCCGATAGCCCCACCATGTGGACCATTTCGATATTTTATGGTGTTGATTGATGCTTCAACACGTTGGTCACATGTTAGTCTTTTATCGAGTAGAAATTCAGCATTTGCTAAAATCCTCGCTCAAATTATACGATTAAGAGCTCATTTTCCAGATCATTCTATAAAGAGAATCCGACTTGACAATGCAGGAGAATTTACATCCCAGACATTTAACGATTATTGTATGTCAATTGGGATTGATGTGGAGCACCCTGTTGCTCATGTCCATACACAAAATGGTCTTGCTGAATCTTTGATTAAACGATTACAATTAATCGCCAGACCATTATTAATGAAGTGTAATTTACCTTCATCAGCTTGGGGACATGCTATTTTGCATGCAGCAAATTTAATTCGGCTTAGACCGAGTGCATATCATGAATATTCACCAATGCAATTAGTTACTGGACACGAGCCAAACTTAGCACACATTAAAATATTTGGTTGTGGTGTTTATGTTCCAATTGCTCCACCTCATCGTACAAAAATGGGTCCTCAAAGAAGGTTGGTAATTTATGTTGGATTTGAATCTCCCTCAATAATCAAATATCTTGAACCGATGACTGGTGACTTATTCACCGCACGGTTCGCTGACTGTCATTTCAATGAGACAGTATTCCCAACCTTAGGGGGAGAAATTACTAAATTAGACCCAAGTACGAAAGAGATTACATGGAATGCAACAGGATTGTCACACCTTGACTCAAGATCAAATATATGTGAGCAAGAGGTGCAAAAGATAATCCATTTACAAAATGTTGCAAATCAGTTGCCTGATGCATTCACAGACACAAAGAAAGTGACAAAGTCACATATTCCTGCCATGAATGCCCCTGCCAGAATCGAAATCCCAACAGAGAATTCTGAAAAATCTTTAGCAAATGATTCTTCTATACGCAAAAAGCGTGGCAGGCCACTTGGATCGAAAGATATAAAACCAAGAAAAACTAAAAGGCAGGAATCGATCTGTGATGCCAAAGATGTTCATCCTTCTGAACAAGAAAATGAACAATTTGAAAATATTGGCATAGAAAATGATATTGACAAAACAAATATCTCAAATGATGATCCAACTTCCTTAAATGAGGAAGATATTCCAGATAATGATAGAAACGTTGATAATTATGAAATTTCAATAAACTACGTTTCTACTGGAATGCAATGGAATCGTAAAGATATTGATATTAATGAGATATTTGTCTATGCCGTTGCCACAAATGTTATGAATGAAAACAATGACAATGAGCCAACATCAATAGAAGAATGTCGGAAATGACACGATTGGCCAAAATGGAATGAAGCAATTCAGGCTGAATTGAAATCACTTGAAAAACGTGATGTTTTTGGACCGATAGTCCCTACGCCAAAAGGCGTAAAACTAGTAGGCTTTAAATGGGTATTTGTGTGTAAACACAATGAGAAAAATGAAATTGTAAGATATAAAGCCCGACTTGTTGCCCAAGGGTTTTCTCAAATGCCGGGAATTGATTATGAAGAAACCTATTCTCCAGTAGTTGATGCAACTACATTAAGGTTTCTCATTGGCATGTCTGTTTTTGAAAGGCTGCAAATGCGCCTAATGGATGTAGTAACTGCATATTTATACGGTTCACTCGATACAGACATTTATATGAAAGTTCCCGGAGGATTTAAAATGCCTGAAGCTTATAGCTCGAAACCTCGAGAAATGTTTTCCATTAAACTACAAAAGTCATTGTATGGACTAAAACAATCTGGACGAATGTGGTATAATCGTCTCAGTGAATACCTTCTTAAGGAAGGATATAAGAATGATCCAATTAGTCCATGTGTTTTCATCCGGCGATTAAATTCGGGATTCGCCATAATTGCAGTATATGTTGATGACTTAAATATTATTGGAACTCCCGATGAGATTGAAAATACTGCAAAATATCTTATGAAAGAATTTGGAATGAAAGATCTAGGGAGAACCAAATTTTGTCTCGGACTTCAAATTGAGCATTTGAAGAATGGAATTTTCATCCATCAATCCAATTACACCGAGAAAGTTTTGAAGAGATTCTATATGGACAAAGCTCATCCTTTGACTTCACCAATGGTGATTCGATCTCTCAACATACACGATGATCCATTCCGTCCCCGAGAAGATGACGAAGAAATACTTGGTCCCGAAGTACCATATCTGAGTGCTATTGGAGCTTTAATGTATTTAGCTAATAATACTAGACCAGATATTGCATTCTCCGTAAATTTATTAGCTAGGTACAGTTCATGCCCAACAAGACGTCATTGGAACGGGATCAAACACATATTCCGTTATCTACGTGGTACAGTTGATCTTGGCTTATTCTACCACAAAGATGAAAAAGCTGCTTTAATCGGATATGCAGACGCTGGATACTTATCAGATCCTCAAAAGGCGAAATCACAAACCGGGTATGTATTTACTTATGGTAACACCGCAATCTCATGGAGATCTATGAAGCAGACATTGACAGCTACATCGTCAAATCATTCTGAATTAATTGCACTATATGAAACCGGAAGAGAATGTGTGTGGCTACGATCTATGATTCAACACATCCAAAATGAATGCGGTATAAAGTCTATTACTTGTCATCCTACTGTGATCTACGAAGACAACACTGCGTGCATAGCTCAGATTAAAGAAGGCTACATCAAAGGAGACAGAACAAAACACATATCACCAAAGTTCTTCTCTACTCATGACCTCGAGAAAGAAGGGACGATCAACATTCAACAAATCAGATCCAGTGAAAATCCAGCCGATCTCTTCACCAAATCTTTACCCCCGAAGAAGTTCATGGAACTTGTACAGAAAATCGGCATGCGACGTCTTCATAATTTATACTAAATTCAGGGGGAGTATTTGAATGCACTGCACTCTTTTTCCCTTCATCAGGTTTTTATCCCACTGGGTTTTTCCTGATAAGGTTTTTAACGAGACAGTACATCCAAATACAACGACATTATAAGTCGTATTTTTTACCCCTTAATTTTCACAATAAGTTTTTAAAATAATAGACAACTATTCAAGGATGAACATTCAAGGGGGAGTGTTGTAAAATCCTGGAAATGACAAGTGTGAATTGTTCATCCTTGTCATCAATCCAGAAATTATGTTTAATCCTTGTAACCTAGTTAGAACAGATGGCTCAACTTGTTATTGCCACCAAATCTGTAGATTCATCCCTTAAATGACTAATCATCAAGTTCAAACAGTATAAATAGGAGCTTGATGAGGCATTGTAAATTCATTCAGAAATTCAGAAATTCTCAGATATTAAGAAGAAGATATTTAGAGCTTTTATTAATATATCTATTTCTTAAGTTTAGTCTTCATCTTCTTCATTTCACAACACATATTAATAAATCCTCTCCCTTCTGTATTTTTAAGTTATTAAAAGCTCATAATAATAATTTGTATGTCATTTATAAAGTACTACTTAAACTTAAAGCAATACATTAAATAAATATTCTTAGTTTAGTTTCGGAATTTAAGAATTGTTCCTACAAATGATCAATTAAAGCATTGTGGAGCTCAATATGAACGTCTTTGTCGTGAATTTGGTTATGTCGGCTAAGAAATTGAGTGAACCGTGTCGCCTCATAAACTGTCAC